GAGAGAGAGAGAGAGAGAGAGAGAGAGAGAGAGAGAGAGAGAGAGAGAGAAAGAGAGAGAGAAAGAGAAGAGGAAGGAATATTGAACTTCCGATGAATCGATCAACGATCTCGTATAAGCGATACGATCGTAAATACAGCGAACATGTCGGAAAACAAGATTAAATATACACGATATATGATAAAGAAAAGCCACTCCGAAATGGAAAACTAGAGGAAGAACGAACCAGAGGAAAAAAAGAAAGAGAGAACAAGAGAGAGAAAGAAGTGCGTTCCGTGTCGTATGAAAAATATAATCGTTGTTAACCGGCCGCGAAGTAGGTCACAAGGTCGATACTAAAATGAAGTGAAGATGCAAGAGGAAACCGGGAAAATGGCATGTACTAACGACGTTAATAACGGCGGACCGATTTTTCGGGGCGGACCCGGCGTAGTGTGAAGTAATTAGTGCACGTTGCGCGCGGGCGTCATTCGCGCGGAGTGTCGCGCGAGGTAATCTAATAGCGGACTACCCCTATGTACGGCGGATAATTACTAGCGAAAATGGTCGATGCATACCTAGGAGGATACGTTATTTTACTGACGAGTGACAACGGGAGGGTCAAGCTCTATGGTACGTAACGGTTACGTTAGCAACAATGTATTACGCCAGATTATTCGACAGGGCGCCAAATATTACGCAAAACACGTTTCACGCGACGGTAAAACATCGAAAGAAGACAGTCAAAATAGTAAGTTCATTCAGTGATACAAGTTGACAGAGATGTTGTTCTATCTTCACTACTCACTAAATGCAAAGAAAGATAGAATGCTTATGTCGATTTATGTCACTAAATGGAAAGCACCTGATGCCATATTGGTCTAATCATCAATAAATGATATAAATTCGTTCAATATAACATCAAATTGATATTTTTGTTGACTTTCTTGTTCCCCTTGAGCAAGCAGTTATCATGATATTGGATGCATTCAACAGAAAAAAACAGCTTTGCAACTGTTGTAAAATTTTTGAATATAATTGGTTTATACATTTGAACCCAGTGAGAAACTAATGGCAAGATTAATCACATTAAATAATTTAAAAAAAATAAATTTAAAAAAAATAACGTCAAAATGAATACTAAAGGTATTTACTTTTCAATCAGTTATAATTTATTTTGAGTCACTTTAACGTTATTGTAATCTGTTTTTCTACTTGGATCATTAACGCTCGGAGTGTAAACCATGAGAAAATAGAATATAAATCTGTAAATTAAATTTTCGAAAAACACTCACGTGTTTTTGTTTTGTAAATCACGCATACCTAACGTTATGGCCCGGTCTTCAGAAGTCTACTTGATACAGAGACCCTGCCGTGTCTTCTTTTTATGGAATTTCTCTCTATAGTATTTTCAAGTTTTATTGTTAGATTTTCTTTTTTTATGACGTTTACATTGGCTTACTGAATATTTGTCGAATGAATCGACATCGAGCGTCTCTTTAGATATATATGGTTATCCTCGATCGCTCTCGGGGATATGCGTAGGAATCTAAATGAGAAGTGATAATTTTCTCGTTAGCGATCATCATGCGCATAGCTTACACGTCATGCACACGTCGCACGCTTTCGGAAGCGGGAAATGTGCGACGGACGGATTTCCGATTTACGCGACATGTTACAGTAATGCACGACGATTCATATAGAGGACGTGTTTCGCGACGTGTTATTTATAGGCTGACCTTTATGTTTACTTATCGTAACGCGCGCTTTATCGCCCTGAAGAAGGTACTTGTTCATTTTATGTTTCACTCCTTTTTTTCCTTGATTTCTGTTGGATATTTTTGTTTTAAATCCTTTTTTTTTCTTTCTAAACAATCTTTACAAATGATATATTTAACGTTGGTGATATTTGAATATATAACTTGTACGCGCGTTTTATTTTTTTACATATTTTACGTAATTAAATCAGCCACGGTTATGTTAATTCTTCATTGCTATCGACGTTCGAATTACAAGGGATAGATAAATCGGTTGCATCAATATTCTTTTTTTCCGTTTATCTTGAGAAAAAGATTTTTCGCACCATTTTGTGTTCTTGTACGCCATGGGAAAGAATGCAGTCAGTTGCTTTTACAATTCGTTTACGCGCAGTATCCTTTAAATAGCCGTGCTCATTAGCAGGTACGTTCCGTTTACGAAGCAGATTATACGTTACATTCACAGGCGTTTAAACAGGGATTTTTGCAAGCTTCGATGTCTCGTTTCAATACGGATTATTGAAAGCGATGTCGCGTTCGAAGGCATGTTACAGAATCCATTTAACACGAAATACGATTAATATTCACAATGTATATCAGAGTCATTTATTAAAATTTATTAAAATTGTTTTCTCTCTAACGTTAGGCATTATTGCAATTAATAAATTTTATAAATTATAGTAAGATTATGTTCGCTTATGCAGGATCGCCGGCGGATAATGGCACTCTGGAAGTGAGCGATGAAATTTTAGAAGTGAACGGTCGCACCTTGGAAAATGCAACTCATACCGAAGTCATTCAATACATACATGAGGTAATTATATTAATATATCTCTGTCATTATATTTTTAATATATTTAGAATCGCACGTTATATTTTGTCATAAAATAATAATTGTCATTTCTTCTTACAAACTTTCATTATTCTTTGGAAATAAGACAATATAATTAATAAAAAGATGTTATAAAAGAAAGATAGAAAATGTGTACATCGCAAATATGTATACATATTTTATTTTTATATTTTCTTAATACAAATAATTGTGTTTTCTTTGATTCAAGTGCATCGACTCTCGAACAATATGTCTGCGTCTTCGGAGAAGCGGAAACAGGAACGTGGGTGAGTCGATTCTCTCTTACCTTTTATATTTACATTTTGTAAATGTATTATATATTTCTGGGCATTTAAAGTTAAAAAAAGAAACAGAAATAAGTGAAGCGTCAAAGAGATTATATAGACAATTTTTATTAAATTTTGAACAAATATAAATGTATAACAAATGTAAAAATATGGAGGATTAAATGAAAAAAAATGGGAGAAAGTGAAAGACAGGGAAAACTAAACAAACGCAGCTATACTTACTTTTCATGTAAATTCACCTTTTTCCTCATTATTTCAAACGCCGGCGACATGGTATTCTTTGAACAGATGTTTTTAAAGCAAATGAGACATTTCATTACCAACCGGAGCGGCATTGCCGCTCTGTTACAACCGTGCTTGGGCAAACGCTCGTATGAATTTGAATACAATTCAAATAGACGGGTCACAGTCGATTTCGTGTCCCGTATTATGTCCCCGCCCTCGTTCAATAAACGCGCAACATTTTAAACATTCCGTAGGACGTCACGCGCGACGACAGACTTTGACGGGGGACAAAAATAAGAATTCGATCGCAGAGTCTGGGACGAAGTCCCGCAATTGATGTTGACACGTTCCTGCCGGACACAATTTTCCAACGAAAACGGTGCTCGGAACGATAGTCCAAAGAATTTGAAAAATTCCGGAAAAATCTTTTCAAGCGCGAATGCCGCATTCCTTTCTGTCAAAAGTAGCGGAGTCACATGTCAGGGAAGTTCCGCGTGAGAGAACTGTGAATACATACACAGAGTTGCACGCTAATACGCTTTGAAACTGTTATAATTATTTCGTTCCCTTCCCCCCCCCCCCTCCTTCCTCTCCGTTGTCGGCTCGCGTATGTAGCAAAGACGATAACATGTCGTGCACAATGATAATAAAGTGATTCATTCATATGAATAGCGCCGCTATATTATGCACGCTGATAACAGGCTTATTTCAATCGATTTCAATATTGCATCCGTGAAGTCAACGCGAATTGCAAGCCCTTTAATTCGTTTAATCACTTGAATCGTGCCTCTGTATCATTATTTTTGCCGAGTATCAGTACCCGTAATATATTTCTATATTCTGATAATTCCAATAATCATCCCATTAATCTGTTTCATTTTATTCTACGAACAGCATTACGTTTACTCAAATCCCGCCGTAGCGCATAACGCAGCCGTTTAATTCTCAAGTGATGTTTACGAATTTATTGGACCAAATTTGGGCGCATTTCTTACAATTACACGATGTTAATTTCTATTGATGTAGATTAATTTTAATCTCGGTTTAACTTTCTTTTTATCATTGTTTAATTTTATCTCTTCTAAGAATTAAAAGAAAGATAAAGAGAGAGTAAGTTGAACCTGGAGAAATTAAATTTAAGGTTGTATGTGCCACATCTCAAAGCATTATGAAAATTTCATAGATTTTCCTATTCTTACATTTAAATATTCATTGTAAAATTTAGATATATTTTCTTTGTTGGTTTAAAAGTTATTTAATTTTTTTGTTTTGCTTTGTTTCTTATATAAGAACAATGTTTTATAGTATACTGAGAAAAATTTCTGATTGAAAATATAAATGAATCAGAATTTTCTGGTTAAATCTATTACATTTCTAATTGAAATAATCAAATGTCCAATTATGAAGAAACCAGAAATCTGATTGATATGATCGGAATCTTACTAGTTCGATTACTTTCAATCAGTTCTCACTGTATTTATTTGTAAATTTAATGAGGAAGTAGCATTACAAATTAAATTAAATTTTTTATATGTTAATGAAACTAATAAAAATTCACGCAACAGTTCATTTGGATCCACTTATTCGTTTTAAAAGTTATTTACTTAAAACTGCAGTGAAATATGATAATTGTTCTGCATAAGCAATTAAAAATAATTTGTTGTTTTATTTTTCACACAGTTTCAGGTACAGCATTCACACTGAGAAAAAAAGTCAAAATATTCCGAAACAAATGAAACTTGCGACATTTTTTAAATGTTTATTAATTATAAAAATATTTTTGTAACGAACAGAATACACGTTCTCGTGAAATATACCTAATTTTTTTTATTAATTGTAAAAAACGAAAATAGTAGTAAAACTTTATTTCTGCGTTTTTAAATAAAATTTATTTTAACGAAATAAACATTATATCATCCTACAAATAAATGTTTTAAATATGTTTTTCTCTACAGTGTATGATAAAATCTTTTGATTGATTTTAATTGAAATTAGCTTTTTTATTGATATTTTAGCTGATATTGTACAAAACACCCTTAAGCTATAGTGATAGAAACATTAAGGTATAATTTTATACTAACACTTAATGTTAATATCAAAATAAATCATATCGTTAAAATTAAAACAAGCGTCAAGCGTCAATTTTGCGTGATTTGTTTTGATAGTAAAAATGAGTTTCAAGTGTCAATATGAGAAGGTATCTTCAGAATAAACGATGTAACGATGAGAAAAATCTGAGGAATCGGCGCGGTCCGCGGCGCGGCAAAATTCGAACGGCGTTCAGGGGGATCATCGGGCGATTCCGCGAGGACTCGTGCGAATCCGACGTTCGCCAGGTAAACGCTCCAGGTGGCCGCGTACGGTATCGCGGTAAAGAAGGGGGAGAGAGGCAGGAGTGCAAAACTCTGGAGGTAGGCAGGTAGGCAGGCGGACAGGCCATCGGATCGGCTGCACATGGCGGACCAGGAGGTATAACCTTCGAATGGTATCCGCTGTCACGGTCCGCGCCGCGGGGTAGTACGGAGGAACCGTTCGTACGCGGCAAACGGTTCCGCGCGTTCCGTTCCGTGTTGATACCGCGATTCTAAGTCCTTTCCGGCGACGACGACGTTGACAACACGACAGCACAACCGTACGGAATCCTTCTTCTTGAGAGAACGCGCGATTTCTCATCGACTAGCCTGGCGATTGCGGATGCGATCGCGCGCGAGTGCCATATCGGGAACGCAACGTGGTTACGTCTGCCGTTTCTGCGTTCGCCAGGACGTCGAACATACCTACACCGTGCCGAAGCGATCGGTGTGACGGATGAACCACGATTCCACGTTTGATCGTGGATCACGAGCGACTAGACCTGACCAGACCGCCGTGCGGGTCGAAAATGAACGATCCACGGCGATAGTTTCGCGCGTGAAAGAGTGAATTCGTGATAGATTGGTGCTCTGTGGTGATCCATCTGATATAGGATAGTGTTGTACGAGCGACTTCAACGCGTTCCCGCTTCCAGGCCAGATCTCTAGGAGATCCGTCTTGCTTCTTACCTATCTCTTTCTCTCTCGTCTCTTCGTCATCGTCTCGGTGACTCGCTGATCTGCCGAAGGTAACCGCTCCTCTTTTCTCTTCATTGCGCTCTTTTCACTCCTTTCTCAGCACTTTAAACGATCCCGCGCGCTAAATCTCACGGTGTAAGTGTACTTCTGCAGCACAGTTTCGGGGCCGCCACGCCGGCCGTTTTCTGATACCAGAACGATCGGTACCAGAACGTGCCAACGCTTCTTTCTCCGCGTGTCCGCTGCTGTCCTCTTTCCTTTCTCTCTTCCTCTTTCCGCCATTCGTCTCTCTTTCACCGTCTCTTGTGACATGTCGACTTCGCAATATCACGCGCGCCACTTATTTCCGATACACACGTTGTCGCGTCGCGGTTTTCCGCTCGCGTCCGCACTGTTTACGACCTGATATCGCGACTCGTGGCTTGACGTTTATTAAGTCTCTCTCTTACCGCTCTGTCACGCCGGTTGCCGATAATTTTTAGCGGGCGTTCGCGTTTGATTAATCGCACGTAATCTTTCCTTTTCAATTCGTCGATTCATAAACTTCCCTGCATTATATCATTTCGCGAATATTAATCTTTGGAGGGCGGAGATCTATTTTTTAAATCTTATTAGTTTTTTCCTTGAGTAAAATTTGTCGATTTATTATTTCATTTAGTCATTCATTATTTCACAGTATTTCTTATCTCAATTTCTTGCCTTAAAATCAATATCGTTTCAGCCTATAATGGCTTTTCCATTCCGTAACGATAAATTTTCAATTTGATCGTAGAAGTATTTTACTTAATCGCGTAGAAACTTCTTTTTGTTATTTATTTCGATTATCCAATGTATTCCTTTTTCACGCTCCGTCATCGTCGTTCTCGCGGGAATTCCTGCGAGAGCTTGTAATTATTTAAATTCGATCACATTGTTCATTTATTTTTCTTTCTTTTTTTCTGTTACAATTATAAAAAAATCTAAACGTTAATACATACTGCATGAATGTTTCAATCTTATAAATTTACATATAAAGTTCAGATGTGTGTTCCGTTAATATCCTCTTTCGCATTTCTATTTCTACTCATTGGGTTTTATTCGCGCTTTACGAAATAGATTGTCTCTTATTGAATTTTACGAAATGTTAGGAATATTCATTGGAATCGCAGGTGTAATATATTCTCCAGGATAATAGGCTATTGCGTTTTACACACGTTTTTATATTAAGTCCTCAACCGCATTCCTTGTATTGAGATATGGATATTTAGCCTTGTAGTAAGTGTTCTTTATGCAACATCAGAAAAGTATATCTTGCGAAATTATTTTCAGAGCTTCATAAGATTTTCTATATAATCATGTAATATATATTTTATTCAGTTAAATAAGTATCTACAAGATATAAATATTAAATGCATTGGGCGGATGCTCGAAAATGTAAATAAATCATAAAAATATATTGATTTTGTTACGTGTGTTTTGCGCAATAAATACATATAATTTTCCAAGATTTGATTCATACATTAAGATTTGTATTCATGCCCTTTTATCGATGCGCACATTTATTTCTAAAAGATTCTAATATATTGGATTGGCAAAGAAGTAAATGCGTTTTTTTAGCTCAAAGCTGTATCTTTGTCAATAATGAATGAAATTTAAATTTAAGAAAAGAGTTTTAAAGTTTGAAATCTCTATTTTTAAAAGCTTACCACATTTTTTAAGTTTATA